AAAACAAATGAGAAAAAAATCAAAATGTAATGCAATCATTAAGAGAAAACCTGCATAATTTTTTAAAAGCAAAAAATGGTACATGTTTTTGATTTAAAAAGGAATCCTTAAAAGAACCCATTTGATATTTGTATAGGTAAATTTCTCCATCCAAAAGGAGTTTTTACTAATTCATTTCCAAATACCTATAATCTTACTTATTATATAACGCAGATTGTGCGTGTCTGTACGTTTATATGTTGGATCAGATTTCCACATTTTTCAACCGATTTCAACAAAACTTCACAGGACTACGTAAAGTTACGTTGCGGTGGTTCTGAGAGCGCCAAAAATTGGAAAAACACAATTGTTTTGGCAAGAAATCACTTTGAAAACACGATTAAGAGGCATCACGAGAATGAAAGGGGGGCAACTCATATCGAGTTATACTTATCATAAAACCCAGATTGTTTGTTTGTTTGTGTGTGTGTGTGTGTGTGTGTGTGTGTGTGTGTGTTTATATATGGGATCGGATTTCCTACATTTTTCAACTGATTTCAACAAAATTTCACTTTTGTTTTTGGCAGGTAGTGTTTTTTATTGTCTTGCACACTTTTTTCTTTATTTTTACATTCAGAATGCTTTAAAAATTCCATTTACAAGACAATTGTTTATAATAAAATTCTATTCAATTGATAGACTCATAACTATTGAAAACAATGTTTTTGTTTGATTTGCGGTTTGACCAATTCGTAAAAAAAAAATAGAAGAAAAAGACTAATTAAGACATGCGTGTCCGTCAACCTTAAACAATAATCTTTGTCAATTTTATTTTTCAGTTTTTATGACGGTCGATACTTGATCTATCTCATACTGTTACAGCCCCGGGGAACGCCGGGTTCTACTGCTAGTCTCTGTTAAACCTAATTCCTGTCTAATTGTAACTGCAATGGAAAATACGAAAAAATTGAGTATTTTGTTTTTCTACTCTGGTTTGGAAATGACATTTCTTTAATTTTTTAAGCAATTCTCACACTTTGCTTTCGATATAGGTGCTACCACCCCTGATCTGGATAGACCTTAGTAACATCAGCAAATAAGAGGTGGTTCCACGCTCCTCAAAACCTTGAATCTCACGATCAGAGACCGTGCTGCTGGATGTAGTTTATCGTCATACCCAGGAGTAATGTGTAAAGGAACACCACTATAGTGGTTTAAAGCCAAATAACGTAAGGCAATATGCTCTAAGTCTTGACCAATATATAATTAACTTCAATATAGCTGTAAACCAAGAGGAATTGTCAATGTTCCCACGTTTAAGCTCTAACGGGTTACGTCACACACACACACACACACACACACACACACACACACACACACACACACACACACACACACATATATATATATATATATATATATGGAAAGAGAGAGGGAGGGTTGAGAGACATTGATGGAATTGGAAATCCACAGATGTGTTTTGGGAGCCGCCTGGAACTGTACCAGAAATGGACACAGCCGGGCAGAATAGCGATAATTACGCACCTCAGTGAAGCGAAGAGCACATTTATCCATTTGCCTAGGGCCCAGTCCGCTGGACAATTACAGCCGAGAGGACGAGGCAATCTCACTGATGCCACAGGCGCCTGTCGAATTGCACTTTCATAAAAATGGTGTCATTACATTTATCTATCCATCTCCCCGTCTCCTTAATTCATTGTAACGGTTTATGACTGTTAATATGTATTTCCTTTTTCAATATCTACCAGTATAAACGCTCACCATTTCCTACCGCTACACATCGATATCATACGCAACCATATAAGCAAGCACATATCCATGTCCATGTATACAGTTAGTATTGTATAGCATAGCATAGATCGATAGATAGATAGATAGATAGATAGATAGATAGATAGATAGATAGATATCAATAGAATGTTATAGATAAATATGAACAGAATGGGATAGACTGATATAAAAAGAATGGGATAGATAGATAGATAGATAGATAGATAGATAGATAGATAGATGAACAGAATGGGATAGACAGATATAAAAAGAATGGGATAGATAGATAGATAGATAGATAGATAGATAGATAGATAGATAGATAGATAGATATGAATAGAATAATATCGATATATATGGACAGAAAGGGACAGATAGATATAAACAGAATGGGATAGATAGATATGGACAGAATGGATTAAACAGAATATATATATATATATATATATATATATATATATATATATATATATATATATATATATATATATATATATGTAAATATGATTCCTCCGCTGAGGAATAATATTTTTAAAAAAGTAATTATAATTTACGCTCTACTTTTGTATCGAGCACTGTTTTTTTTAAATAAACGCAAAAATACTAAAGAATTTCCGATTATTTACCTAACGAGTTCTTCCCTATTTTCTATATATTTTCACACACACACACACGTACACACACACGCACACACACACACACACACATATATATATATATATATGAGAGATAGATAGATAGATAGATAGGAATGGAATGAAATACATAGACATGAGCGTAATGGGATAAACTGTGTGTGTGTGTGAAAGGATTTAAGGAATATCTATAATATAACACTATGAATAAAAACAAAAAGTAAACTTAACCGATTCGCATCGTCCTCTGGCGGACGTTATCAAGGCAAATGTGAGGGATTTATTTTGAAACAAGTATTTATAAACAAAAAAGAAGTATATGCTATTAGATTTTCAATTTTTTTTACTGAAGAGAAACTCATATATATTCATCAGGTTAAGTGAAAATGTAGTTATAATGATTTATAAACGAATGTTACTAAAATATGTTATATATATTTATCACTTTATCACTTATATAAAATATGTTATATAAATTTATCACTTTTGAGTAATATATATATATATATATTTCACAAAAGTGATAAATTTTTATTTATCAACCCAGCAGATTTTAAAAAAGCAGATGTAAAAATTCAGATATAATTAATATATATATATATATATATATATATATATATATATATATATATATATATATATAAAAGGTTAATATGAACAAGTTCAATGTACATTTATTCCATGAGTTTCTATATATATATATATATATATATATATATATATATATAGAGAGAGAGAGAGAGAGAGAGAGAGAAAAGAGAGAGAGAGATCTATAATATAACGCTATGAATAAGGACAAAATAAATTTAGCCGATGACATATATATATATATATATATATATATATATATATATATATATATATATATATATATAATCTACCGGTTGTGACAACAACATTTTCCAAATCGTGTAACAGAATGAGGTAATTGTCTATCCCACATAATGGTGAATATGTAAAAATTACACTAAACTAATTGAGTTTTTTGCCAGTTTCCCACGTAAGATGTTAAGCCATTTCACACCATTTTTCGTACGAATCACTAAAAACACCCATTTTTGTTATTCTCCTAGAAAGAGAACAGTTTAAAACCGTTTTGTATGTGTCCCACTATATCTTCCTACCAAAGAAAGTCCATTGAAGAAATATCAAGAGAGCGGTGAATATGTATTAAAAAGAGGGAGTAGTAGAGAGGATAACTGGATCAGAAGGTGAACACAGCAAGAGGGATCATCATTTCCACGTAAAGCTAAATATATTCTTATTGTTCAAAGTATAGTCCAATCCTGTTATCGAAACCTCTGAGAATTTCAGTAAGATATATATAACCATTACTAAGATACACCAGTTTTAAACTTAATCTAACAATTGAACACCTTTGGTGTTACACCATATATATATATATATATATATATATATATATATATATATATATATATATATATATATATATATATATCAGACCGAAAAAAAAAAACCAAGGTTAAAATATCATCATGGTTAATTTTTTTAAAAGAGTTTTTTTTTATCATTTCGCTCTGGGTATGTGATTAATGTGTGCCTCACCGTTAGGATGTTCCTCGAATTCATAGGTAGTTTTGTAACAATAGAAATTTCAGGGATCAAACACTTTTGCGGTAGTTTGAAGTCATAAATATTCGTGAGTGAGTGTTTGACCTGCTCTGGTTAATCTACTAAATTTGACTCCCTCAACAGACAAACAAATGCAACCTGAGTTTGATGGCATGGTGCATGTTCCTTCTAAAATTGCACATTATTGTTTTGGATCAAGGGATCTAACTCGTCAAGACATCTATGTTTAACTGCATTTCAGCAACCAATAGTCCAGTGTAGGTGAACGGAGTTAACAGTCTAACGAGCGTCTTCCCTTTCGCGTCATTGCGAGGTGCTCTTCTCGTCACTGTGTTTTTCGCGGTTAGTGATCACTCTCTAAACGATTATTTTTTTCTTGTTACGTTTGTCTAAAAAAATTAATTTATCTTCATTCATTGCAGCTCAGACCAGATACCAGGTTCCTTCTCAGAGTGCAGGTACTTCCACTCCAAAAAAATGAAAAATAAACCCTTGGCCAGATCATCCGCCACGAATTAAAACCATGAGACATTCGTAGCAGCAAACAACTTTTATTTTCTTGATGTAACCTACTGATATAGACGAGCGAAGCAGAGCTGAAACTTAGGTGAATGGAGGGGAAATAGTATAACGGTCAAAAGTCTAAGGCGAGTCTTCCCTTTCGCGTTATTGAGAGGTGCTCTTCCCGTCAGTGTGTTTTTCGCAGTTTGTAATCACTGTCTAAACGATAACATTGCTCTTTATCTTGTTATGTTTGTCAAAAAAAATAATTTATCTTGAGTCATTGACCTAATTTGTCTGGGCCGCGTGCCATGTTACTTGTGAAGTCCCTTTCAATTAGATGACAATTATGTTAAATAAATGTCTGAAAGCATTGTTGTGACAGGTCCGATGTATTCCATTTAACAAGATACCGGCTGACACTAATATCGCTACACGTAGCGGTCACTAGGCAATCGTGGTTACCAATACCATGATGCGCGAACATACTCCACACAATACACAACCCTCAGCATAATGCACATAAAGCTATTGGCAACGGAGTTTATAGCCTGGTTATTTTGTGACACACGAAACCTTACTTCAGCTAGATAAGATTGAAAACGGGACTCGTTTGATCATGCTGCCCTTTACTCGTTGACCAGGGTCTACTTATCGACGACGTGAAACGAGTAAGCCTGTCGCTACATCATCGTATTTCCGAAGCAAATGTTCAGATGTGCTTTAGATTGACTAGATTATAAACTTAAAGCTGGGACTCACCATGCTATATCCATGGAGTCTAATTAACTATATTTCCTCTCTATTCCATTTGTAATCAGGACGTTTCACGGCATTTTCTCTCGAAATGCATTGTGAGAAAAAAATACGATGTGGATGCGTCCATGACCACTACAGGATTAAACTTTCAGATCAATTGTCAGTCGCTATTTAATCTCCTTATCTTGATAATCTTCACTTCCGTATAGCCTCTCTTGCGTTCATTTCAAACATCTCCTTTAGTAAGCATCTACAGAAACTACATCCGATCACGTGAATAGAAGTTTCCAGAAGAGTGGAATCATCTCTTGATTGATGCTGTTTCTAGGTTCACCTTGACCCGGGGTACTATTACCTCTTCTGGTCATAGCTATGAACAAATAGACAAACTCCAGACATAAACAAAACGTTGTGAAAATGTATGAATAAGTTTGTATTGCACAAATGCCAAACAATCCATTTTTATAGTAATATGACCAAAATTATTTATATATAGTTGAAACTAGGTATATAGGAATAAAGTGTCGCTGCCGACACTTGAGTTTGAACATAAATCGTCAGTGAGCAAACTCAGGTGATCCCATTAAAGAATTAAGTAGACCACGTGACCATAGAGGAAACGCATATATGTAGGAAATGACTGACGACTAACGATCTCTGTTTTTATTCTATCCTCTATTACTATTCGAATCACTCTTTCTAGTCTATCCTCTATACTATGTTGACGGCTATTCTCTACTCTATGCATTATACTATTTCTCTATTCGGATCACTATAAGGGTTACTTTTCGAGCGACTATTATCGAGCAAATACTATTAGTGCGAGTGATATTCGAAGATGTCTGATACCAGTATTATTTAACGGCATTACTATAAGTGTACCTGCGATTACAAAGACTCTACTACAACGAGTATTACAAAAGCGACAACGATTATTCCATGGATTCACTAAAGTGGCAACGAATAACATAGAATTTTGTTCACATTATTTAGATTTTGTCATTAAATAAACTATAGAAGTGTTGATATGCTAGCAAACAACCAACAAAAAAGAACCTTTTCATGACATTATATCCTACAATTTCTTAAAGAAATCAAACTATCTTCCAATATATAACTTCAACAAAACTAAAACATAAAGCACAGATATAACTTACTAATTGTATTCACACAAACTTGTATATTCACAAAAGTCGTGTATTATCTGGCGTGTATTCACTTGTGAAAGGAATAATATGTATCATACATTTCTTATTTCCAAGCTCTCAAGACAAACAAATTTTGGCACTATGTCTCATATAAGGAGTTGATATGCCGTTAAACAAACAAACAACAGTTAGTCGCTCTTAAGTCTTGTATTAGGTAAACTTTAAGATGCAAAACTGAAGCGATGTTTTATATGCTGTCTTGCTAAAAGCCCAGCCCTAGTTTTTTATTTTATTTTTTATTCTCCTCTCTTATCCCGTGGAACTAGAGCCGTCTTGCTGAATATACATATGGTAACTCAATGCTTTGAATATCGAAGTGATGTCATGCAGAAACGCTGGTCTGCTACAGCAGACATTTTTCTGTGCAGGATAAGGAAGAAGCTGTCGTTAGCTTTTGTGGTGTCCACGGAGTACGAATATATTTCATTAGCTATTGCAAGTATAAACATGACATCGTAGATTGATGGAGGTGAAATCACGCCAAATTTTATATTGCTTTCTTTTTATATGTTTTATCAACCTTTTGTAGGTTATCTAAAGACAGAATATATTTTTAAATTGTAACATTTTTGGAAGATAAATACTGATACAGGCCCTACTATTTAACCCATAGCTGAGGAGATGAGAGGTAACTTCGAACTTATAACAAACACGATTGGATTTGGAACTCAGATCAATGAATTCTAATTCCGAGGCGTTAAGCTTAATGCACCTGATTTTCCCAAGCGGTCACCCATCTAGTTAGCAAATATACTCGACGTCGCTTAACTTAAAATGATCGCATGAGAAAGGTGTTTCAACATGATATGGTAAGATTGTAAACAAAGATGTTTTTTCTGCTATTAAATGTAAGCGGCAGGCCCAGAATATATGTATTTTAAAAAATGTTTTATCTATTTTTAGATGGAAATTTATTTGGCATTTGTAAGTAGGATCCGATGTTATAATAATATTCGCACAACGCTGCTGGCTTTTGTTTTCTTACGATCATAACGCTTCTGGCATTTGTGCCTTCTAGTTGTCCTCATTTGCATATTGGTATAGCACAAAAGAATAAGAGCCGAACAAATGATGTGCTCATCGAAATGTTGTATTAAGTTAAACGTGAGTGAACACGTATCAGAGCAAAAGAAAAAAAAAGAAATAGTATCATAGGTATGACGATAAACTACATCCAGCAACAATGCTTCTGATCATGAGATTTTCAGGAGCCTTTACTACCTCTTAATTGCTGTTGTTTTCAGCTCCACTCTGACCCGGGATGTTACCATCTGTTGCGGTCCTGTCTATGGGCGGCAATTAGTTAACCTCCAAACGGGGTTCGAAACGCTATGAGAGTATGAAAATAGATTTTTATACTAAAAATAACAGGAATACAGTTTCGTATTAAAATACTACCACTTAACATTTTTTGTATAAAAAATAAATAAATTACCAGCAATATATTTTTCAAAAAGAATTCCAGCAATATATTTTTGAAAAAAATGTCAGTAAAACATTTTTTTGTGAAAAAAAAAAAAGAGAACCTTACCTGCAATATATTTTTGTTAAAAAAAATACCTTCAATACATTTTTGGAAAAACAGAAATTATCAGCAATAAAACTTTTGTAAAAAAAAAAATTACCAGCCATGCATTTTTGAAAAAAAATTAACAGCAGTATATTTTTGTAAACGGAATTAACAATGCTCCCTAGAAAATTAAAGTTCAACATTAAATAATCATAAGAAACTATTAGGTTGGTGCAAAAATAATGACGTAATAATGTCGTTTTTCGACGTTAAAAATACGTCAAAAAACGACATTATTACGTCATTATTTTTGCACCACCCTAATAACATGCCACTAAAGAAACAAACACAGTAATAGACAAAATGTCTGCAGATGGAGCTAATACGTCAGGTAACTATTTCCTGATGAGAGAGAAGACTACAATAATAAAAAAAAGAATGTGGAATGATTGGGAATATGAAAATCGAAAGTAAGATCTCTACTTGCTAAGATGAACCGGAAAGAAACCGTGGGATTAGAAGGTCCGTAATGGATATGCTCTCAGCCTTAGACCATTCTGGCATCGATAAGAAATAATGAATGAAATATACCAAACTGAAGACATTGAAGGAAACCTTAGTAGATCAATCTTTGTCACGTTGCGTGAGAAACCAGGTACAAATGAATGAAAATCTAGATCGGACAATCTGGTTAATGAGCTACATAAACAAATTAATAGTCCGAATTCTGACGAATGGTTGGCTTTGTTGATCTTGTTTTTATCTACTGGTGATTTTATCACCCGTAAACTTATTAAAAATTAATTTAAATTAATTAAAAATTAATTTAAATTAATTAAAAATTAACTTAAATTAATTAAAAATTAAAATTAATTTTAGGTCCGTAATAGAGATGTTCTCAGCCTTAGACCATTCCGGCATCGATAAGAAATAATAAATGACGACATAGAGAAAACCTTTGTAGATCAATATTTGTCACGCTGCATTAGAAATCAAGAATAAATGAATGCGATCTACATAGGACAATCAGTTTAATGAGCCACATAAAGAAGCTAATAATCCGAATTCTGATGAATAGTTGATCTTGTTTAGTTACATATAAACCTCTCCTCGATTTCATTAGAAATCTGTTTCGAACAAAATTTTGCGCATTATTTTTAATAAAAGTGCGTTCGAAATAGATTTCTAATTAAGTTACCAGTTGAGTATTGTCGGTGAAGCTGGCCACTGGTATTCCAGGATACCCGTCTACTATGGTCGCTAGCCAATCCCTACTGCAGACGCACACTCAAGCACATTTTTGTGTTTATCCAACACCCACGGAGCCCATCTGTGCTTTATACTATTATGCTGAGCAGACCTTAGTTACAGTTTCTGGGGAAAAGCGTATTATCTATTATCTAGCGATGTAAAAAAGGCCACCACACCCAAGCTCTCCGACACGATGACTTGAGACTTCGTGTTAGCACATCTATCAACGTCACCCAACGGTTTCAATTACAAGGCTTTGGTCAACCCGTGTTATGGTTTTCATGCACATTGCAAAGGTGCTGCACGCTGGGATTGAACCCTCCTGTCTGATAGCATTAGGAAGTCTCCTTCCTGACAAATCGACGATGTTGAGATTCGAACTCGGGTCTCATGATCAGAATGCAAACGTTCTAACCACGTACCCATAGTATTGCCGGTAGTTTCAATACACTATTGTCGGTAATTTTGATATAAACATGTATTGTTGGTAATTGTTTCATATAATAATGCATTGCTGGAATCTCTATCTATAAAAGGCAGGATGTGTGTGTGTGTGTGTGTGTGTGTGTGTGTGTGTGTGTGTGTGTGTGTGTGTGTGTGTGTGTGTGTGTGTGTGTTTAACGAATGCATGGCCGCAATTTTCGACGGATTTGCACCAAAATTTACATGCACATGCTCCAAGTTAGAGGGAAGGCCAAGACAGACTTTGCATTTCCCAACTCCCAGCGGTTGTGGAAATAATCGATTTTTCATGCTTCTACGACATTTTTCATGTAGTTTGCGGCCATTTTCTACTGGCCAGAGTGAGAGCCCATAGCTGGCTGCCTCGAATAGGCAGGAAGATTCTATTGGTCAGTGTGAGAGCCAACTGCTGACTGACACGAATGTTAACTAGCATGCTAGCATGCAAAAAAATAATCGTTAGCTGCATTCGTCACAAGTAGGAAAAATTTAAATCTGTATGGCACTTTACTACAATTGGCTCAATCGCTTGCTTAAACTCAACGTTGATTCTGATTCCGCAGAACTGGGTTGGGTGTGAAAAAGTATTTGTTGTTAACATTCTTTTTTCATTCGTTTTTTCCCGTTACGAGTCCTTTTTTAAAGCTAATCGTTTTGTGTTCATTTTGTTTAGTTCTTTTTTCATAACAGATTTAATGTTTAGCATAGAGCTTAGAAAAAATCATAGTTTGAGATAGGCAAGAAGTAAGGCATGTAGCAACATTAACACTGCAAAGGGCACTCCTTTAAAGGCAAGGAAGGGCAAAAATATTTTAAGTCAAGTGATAGCGATTGCTGTATGAGTCGTACGATATTTTAAGCAAGAACGGGCAACGCCGGGCCATGCTGCTAGCTGTAGTATAACATGAATTTTTATACTTTCATATTGTTTTGTTTTTTTTTGGGGGGGGTTCACTGTTTGCCCATAGCTTGGGCTGAAACAGGTGCTACCACACAGGGTCAGGTAGTTCAATTAAGTGCTGGTTCTATGCTCCTCAAGATCTCTATTCACCCGCTCAGAGGCCTTGCTACCAGATGTAGTTTGTATTCATACCCAGGACTTCTGATGAATGGAAGGCGAAAACAGAAAATAGACCGAAGATAGAACAAGAACAACACGAATTTGACAAGAACACTGAAAAAAGACATGCAATATTTATTAACAGAATGGTACCGGAGAGAATAATACATATGCAGAAGTGTGTACAGTTACGTTTTATACAGCGTATAACGTCAAAATTTTCCAAATCGTGTAACAGCGAAATTGTCCAATTGTTAGATTAAGATTTGAACCGTTTTAACTTAATGAAAGATATCTTAGTGGAATTCTCCGAGGGGTTTATAACACTATTTGACTCTTCTTTGAGCAATGTGTAATAATATAAATAATGAATGTATAATTAGTCTCTAAGTTTAAATGAAGTATCGTAATGAATTCGATCATGAACTAAAATGTCATATCCATCATTAATTATGTGAAAACCAGAAAAAAGAAACTCAATTAGTTTAGTGACTTTTTAGATATTAAATATTTTGTCGTATGGACAAATATGCTGTAACACAATTTAGATATGTTTGCTGTTACACCCAGTAGATTATGCACAACAATTGTCAAGTCACGGTAGAAGAATCTAAATTAGAAAGAATACAATTTTATCGCTAATCTATCGATGTTGGGTCAGACGCCATTCCTTGGTTCCAACAGCTCAGACATTCACGGTTAGAATACGTCCTGCCATTTTCACGATGTCAAATCATGCCCATTGACTTCGTGTTCCTTTGATAAGGTGCAAGTTTCCCTCAGAAAATTTCTTACTTCGTGTAACAAAGTCACATCTGGATACTTCCCTGACAACTAGAATGATGGATGGTTTCAGTCTAGGGTTAGATGGTATATATCCTGCACGTCAGAACACTCTTTTACGGACAAAAACCTCTTTTTCAGTTCCCTCATTCTTCTAATATTGCAATAATCTGCCATCACACACACACACACACACACACACACACACACACACACGCGCGCGCGCGCACACACACACATATATATATATATAATTATTTATTTAAAAATATGATTCTAACACGCTACACAAGAGTTCTCATGTTTCAAAAGAAGAGCCGAAAACTTCAATATAATTATTTGAATTATATTGAATTAAAGTACTAAGCTCTGTTCCATCTTCAAACGACATTTTTTGGAAATAACTCATTTCTGAAATTTACGCGTTTTGTAAGCATATTCATTATTGAAATCAATATATATATATATATATATATATATATATATATATATATATATATGTGTGTGTGTGTGTGTGTGTGTGTGTGTGTGTGTGTGAAAATATATAGAAAATAGGAAATAATTCGTTAGGTAAATAAACCAAAGTTCTTTAGTATTTTTGTCATTATTTTTAAAAAATAGTGCTCGATACAAAAGTAGAGCATAAATATAATTATTTATTTAACATTATGATTCCAACACGCTAAATAAGAGGTCTCATGTTTCAAAACAAGAGCCGAAAACTTCAATATAATTATTTGAATTAAATTGAATTAAAGTAAGCTCTGTTCCATAACACCCAACACCCCTTCATATTTAAACAATCGCTCTGGCTGTTACCATTGAAATTTTGATTTTAATAATGAATATGCTATTAAAACACGTAAATTTCAGAAATAAGTTATTCCAAAAAAATTTCGCTCGAAGATGGAACAGAGCTTACTTTAATTCAATTTAATTCAAATAATTATATTGAAGTTTTCGGCTCT